TTCTTCCTCTGTGTCCTCTCCTGGACGATACACCCAGGCCTTCAGGAGGGCATTCCCAGCACAGACAGACGTCTTGGGCCCTTCTTCCTCAGCCTCTGCATTCTGACAAGGGTGACCCTGCCCTGACGAGGGTGGCTCTGGCTTGGCTTCTCCCTCCTGCTTAGGCCTCTCTCTAGAGTAGTCCTCCCAGGCTCTGGAGTGGGAGCCTGACGAAGAGCTGGAGGGGTCAGCCTTATTTTCTGTTCCCTCTTCCTCCGTGGCTTGATGTTCTGCCTCCCCTGGGCAACACACAGAAGTGCTGGGTCTGTATCCTGGATCTATGGAAGCAGCAGAGGCTTGGTAAGCCTTCTTCACAGTTTCTCCATCCCCTTCATCCTCAGCTGGACCACCCTCTCCGGGTGATGTGGGATAAGCCTGCTCAGCCACACCCTCTTCTCTAGCCACCACCTCCCCAAGCCTCTTATCAGCCCCTTGCAGGCAAGGGGGCTGCAGTGTAGACAGGCCAGCTGTGTGTTCCATTTCCTGCTCTCTAAGGCCATCTTGTCCTGGCTTCGAATTATAGTCAACATTTAAAAGTCCCCAAGTTTCTGGAGGGGAACTTTTGGCTTCCACATCAAGGCAGAGCCTCTGGGCTGCTTTACTCTGTTCAGGAGATCCACTTTCTTCAGTGTCCCCATGAGGGAGGTGGTTCCCAGAGACAGGGGGAGGCGTCAGGCGAGTGTCAGCCTCTATCTGATCTGCTTCTATGACTGTTTCTGCCAGCCATGCCTCTGGGACTTCAGGGCCCCTTAGGCGGCTCCAGGCCCGACTGAGGAAGCCCATCAGTGGAGACAGGAGGTAGAAGGAGTGGGCGTCTCTCCAGTGCAGGATTTGCTGGGGTCTTGGGTTTGGAGCCATGAGTCTGGCCTAGAAAGGGGGGTATTTGTTTAGAAGTCGCTCTGGTAAACAGTATCAGGCCATAGCACTGAGTCATGCAACACAGTCACGGCAGTGACACGTGAATCCCTGCCTCAAATTCCTAATAACATTGCTCACACCCAACTCCACCACTTGGTTCTCTCGACCCCCAAGTTCTACATCCATAGAACCAAGAACCCACACTCTTAAACCCTTTCCTCAGCCCCAGGCACAGTTCCTAGCCAGCCCTGTTTCAGACCTGTAAGAATCGGGCTTAATGACCTTTCTTCCCTCAAGCTTGTGTTCATGCCCCTAAAACTTCCCCCTGCCTACCTCTTAGATCCAGGACACTACTCCTGGTGTCCTTCCATTAATTGGCTCTATACAGATACTGCCGTTCTAGCATACAGGGCCCCTTCCCTTAAAAGGTATGCGTGGGCTCTCCTCTCTCAGACCAAATAAAGCATCAGGGCTTCAGTGTTTTCCCCAGAACCAGGGACGCTCCTTAGCTTGCCCCCTCAGATTCCATAACTCTCTCTAGCCTCCATGCCGGAGTCCTCCCTCAAAGGCCGCCCATCCTCCACTCACCGGCGGGCTGCACGTCACCCTGGGGGCTGGAGCGCGGGTTCGGGTTGCCAAAAGCTGTCGTGGGTCCGGACTGCTCGCAAAGCCAGTGGGTTCATGTCCTCAGACGTGGGGCTCGGGGACGCGATGTCTCACAGGCTGTAGCAAAGGTTGTCCCGGCAAAGGGATGCGAAGTCGCGCAGGGTCTCGCATGTAATACTCCACAAACTGAGAACTGACTCAACCTGGGCCAACAGCCGCATCGCCGCTCTTATATAGTCAGACGCAGCGCTGTGCTGACGTCACCAGAGAGGCGGGGTTTCGAAAGTCCCTGGGAAAGGTGGAAAGAGAAACACAAGGGTGAACTCGCGGAGTTTCCCGGCTTTGTGAGGTCACGGCGGCTTCCCAGGCGTGTCCTGGGCTCAAAGAGACTTCTGAGCAAGGGCGCGAACTTCATCAGGCAGTCACATGCAGTCCCATTTTCCTTTTTTCTCTCTTTTATTTTATCTGAAAGGCAGGGACTGGTCTCCAGCTCAGTAATCCTCTTGCTACTGTTTCCAGAGTGCTGCGACTAAGGGCATGCATCGCCACTTCCGACTTTTTTCTCCAGGCAGGAATGATTTTGGGGGGTGGGGGGGGAGGGGTTCGAAACAGGATTTTTCTGAGTATCCCTGGCTGTCTTGAACTCACTCTGTAGACCAGGCTGACTACGAACTCAATGATCCGCCTGCCTCTGCCTCCCAAGTGCTGGGATTAAAGGCGTGTGCCACCACGCCCCTGCTAGCAGTGGATTTATTAGAAGACAGAATACCCAATGTTTTAAATTTTTATTTATGTTTTTTTAATGTAGGAGTGCTGTCTGCATTTACACCTGAACAGGGCATCCGGTCTCTATTTAGATGGTTGTGAGCCACCTTGTGGTTACTGAGAATTGAACTCAGGACCTCTGGAAAAGCAGACAGTGCTCTTAACCTGAGCCATCTTACCATCCCTTGTTTGTTTGTTTGCTTGTTTGTTTTTCCAAGACTAGTTCTGGCAGTCATGGAACTCACTTTGTAGACTAGGCTGGCCTTGACCTCACTGAAATCTGATTGCCTCTGCCTCTGGACTCTAGGATTAAAGGCATGCACCACAGGCTGTTTAGATGACTCAGAGATTAAGAACACTGGCTGCTTTTCTACAGCTCCCGGGCAAGAGAGAGGGAGAGAGGGAGGGAGGG